GAATCTTTTTTTTAAAAAGAACTTATTGTCTCCAAGCTAGCTAGGCCTTCTCAGAAAGCCTAGACTCCAAGGTAGCCTACAGTAGATCAACGTCCAACCAGAACAGAATGTCGTTTTGTTTCGTTAACTCCTTTCTCGTGGTGTGTTGCGCCAGATTGGGCGGAAGGTTTCGGTTTTCGGGGAATGCACTTGCCCTTACGGGAAAATCCGTTTCCGGGCGCTCTCTCCCTCTCTCTCTCTCTCTCTCTCTCTCTCTCTCTCTCTCTCTCTCTCTCTCTCTCTCTCTCTCTCTCTCTCTCTTTCTCTCTCTCTCTCTCTCTCTCTCTCTCTCCCCCCCCTCTCTCTCTCTCGGTCTCTCTCTGTTTAAAGTTAAAGGGAGACCCATATTAATTCGACTTGGATATTTTGCGCTCTCAGTTGAAATATAGAATCTAGATCTAATATAAATAATTTAATACATGAGTTGTGGTGTTAGATCATGATTTATCCTACGAGTGAAATTGCCAAGTTGTAATCACGAGTTTCAACGAGTGATTACAACTGGCAATTTCACAAGTAGGATAAATCATGGTCTAACACCATAACGAGTGTAATAAATGTTTTATACCATACTGATATCAGCTGGCGAAATACGTCCGTATCAACAAAGTTCAAATGACCCCTCAAATGGACAAGAGGATCCATTCTAGAGTCTCACATTAAAACAACATTTTCATGCCCGTCGAAGTCAGATTGAGAATTGGGAAAAATCTGGATTGTTTTCCTTTACTTTTAGCCACGCTAATTTACAAGTTGTGCTATCCGTATGTCTCCTTCCGCGAAACAAACCCCAAACAAAACTATCCTAACGTAAATATAAGCAAAGTAATCAGAAAATGTACGATTCAAAACTTGAAAGAAACTGCATTAATATGGCATGTTTTTGTTTGAATAAAGATGACTTTGATTTTGATTTCAAACTTCGTAACCAAAACAAACCAGAGGCAAAGAGTTATTCTCTAGATCTAGATCTAGATCTAGAATCTAGATCTAGATTTCTCTAGATATTAGAACTAACGCATTGCTTTAAATTGGTCAAAGTTGAAAAAAAAGCCTTTTTAACAACAAGAGTTGTCAAGTCACTTGGATACTGACGTGCTGATTCTAAATATGTAGTTAGATCTAGTTTTTGTCTGTCGATTTTCGATATTCTGGATTTTTTAAGGGGAGGTAAGAATATCTGAATAACAAGGGAAGTAACTTTTATTATTTCCAAAAAAGTAATTATCCAAGAGTTTTATATTCGTATATTGACTAATATCATATTTATCAATTACATATTGTTTTAAAGTTTAATCTTCTTTGAGTTATATATGCAGTGATGGAGTTAATGTAAACAAAAATTCAAAAGGCAATGCTAGTGACCTAAACAGTTGGTTTTTTATTGTTTGATAAAATGACTATCAAATTTCAAAACAATGTAATTTTCATGAACATTTCATTTATTCAGACTGATATAGGCCTAGTGCTATTTACTTTTTAATTTATTTAGTCGTGTTGTAGATCTTTCATTTTGATAAATTAAAATTTATTTAGATCTAGTCTGATCTAGTGTCCACTGTCCGTCCAGTTGTCCACCCATTGTGTTTATCTGGTATGCTGCTACAATGTCTGAGAGCAAAAAGAAATTCCCAAACGTCAGTTGTACTAGATCTAGATCTAGATCTGCTGATCTAGATCTAATTGATTTGTAAGAGGGCAGTTTAGCTGCACCTGACAAGTTGCATTATTATGATGACCCATTAGAACAAATGATTATTTTATTCGAGAAATGAACTAAACGTAACAGCACCAGACTCTGGCGTAGATCTAGATCTAGAATCTAGATCTAATCCCGGTTCATTACGGTGCCCATCATTTGACTCTATTTGACACAAAATTAAGGGCACCGTAGATCTAGATCTAGAAAGATTTGAACCTATACTCGACTATAAGAGACTGGGAGACTAGTGTTTGGTTGCCCATGGTGAACGCGCTTTGCAGCGAAGTTTTTAAGTTTTTACTAGATTTAGATCTAGATCTAGATCTAGCTAGATCTAGGCTACTTTGCTTAGCCTGTAGCCTACACAGAGGGATAGAAGTAGAAGGCGAATATTAGATCTAGTGCGCGGAGTAATTTATGCAAATTTTTATATTTCACGTGGATATATTTCACCGGAAATGCAATGCTAAAACAGCTCCAAGTATGGTATAAATTATAATAATATACTATTGTTCCTGCTGTCAGATGAAATTGCGAAAGATGATGAGTTCGATAATTGATAACTCCAAATGTCGTTGTTTCAGTCCTGTCACAGAAGTACATAGATCTAGTACTAGATCTAGATCAATGAGTGAATTCATTGAGGTTAGAAGGTGTGGGTTTCCTTTTTCATTTTCAGTTAAGTAGTTTTGGTTGCTGTGTTTTTGTTTAGTTTGATCAGCGATCTCTCTCTCTCTCTCTCTCTCTCTCTCTCTCTCTCTCTCTCTCTCTCTCTATGTGTGTGTGTGTGTGTGCGTGTATACATCTACAATCCATTTCCAGAAATAACATTGGTACTGTGTACAAGTTCCTGAACCCGTATCCTTATCAAATTATTGAGAGAATTTACTAAAGCTTCTTAGAAGATGTAATTTTCAAGTCTAAAAATGACCATAATAACTATTACATTATTCAATGATGAACAGCAAGGAAATAACGAAAGCTGCTCGAATTTAGAAAGTACATATAGATCTAGTAGACATAGATCTACATGTATATATTATTTTTACACACACGTAGTATACACAGTAAGGCCTATAAGCACAGATGTCAGCACTACAATGACATGTTATACCAGACAGCCGAAACACTTTGGTAGAGCACGACAATTATTAATTTTTTATTTCACATTTTGCTGTTTTTTGTCTAGCTTTTCGCGACCAGGAGCCTCTGTCATAATCGAGGGCACGATCTGATTATAGGACGTTAAAAAGTCGAGGAAAAAAAACAACAAGCACTAGCAGTGTAGTAGCAGGAGTCAAAGGATTATTAGGAGTTAGTTCCCCTCACATCTGTGAGGTAGACTCGACCAGTGTAATAGTTCGTTTAGAATTAGATAATCAGCGCGTCTGGGTGCTTATAACTGTGGCCCGAAAGGGATAAACAGGGTATATGCGACAATGAAACAGTTCTGACTGCTATGCACATGTTCCCTTCAACTATATTGGTTGACTCTTCCAGCCTCACTTTAAGCTTACTTAATCAAAGCTCGTGACTGCTTATGGAGTGGCCCGATAGGGGCGAACAGGCTATTTCTGTGGCAATGAAACGGTTTTGAAGGTTAGGCATAGTCTATTGTTCATTGGTGATTATGAACGTCTTTTTACATTTAATTTATGAGGTTTACGTCTATGGGTGAATTTGACTGCGACAATCTTTCAAAATTAGGGAGGGAAGCAGTGATTATTTGATTATATAGACGCTTCGCCTCTGCCTATTTATATAATATTCAGTTGGACTGAGATAACACGAACACGAAAAAGGAAAGTTCGAATTTAAATCTTTAATATCTCGTACAATTTGCCTTTCCCTAAATGAACTAGAATCTACTATTTCTCTGTAATAGCCACGCCGTTTTCTCAAACACCCCATGTACGGAGGTCAAACTTCTCGTCTCGAGAATTGAAATCTAATTTTTCTTCGCAATTGTTTCAAATCTAGATCTAGATCTAGATCTAAATATGGCCCTGTCTGCACACATCAAAACACGCACACCGCCACCGGGAGTATCGCGAGAAAGGAGGTTATACAGTAACAAAGACCGTACCGGTACGTAGTTGTAATTAAGGTCCTTAATTTGATCGCAAGAAACATGAGTGCACACAACATTAAGTCTTATTCCGTCTTGGGTTTAATCGCATGTGTACACACACCAGGCTCGCCCCTGCACAGCTTGTTACACACTCGCTGCTGGTGTATCGTCGCCACAGAATTCTTTAGTTTTAGAACATGTGCAGGTAAGGGCAAACTTGTCCAAAGCCTCGAATCAGAAAATGTGTGATCTACTCTTTTCTAACGTTGGTAACAGAAGAAAAATGTAACGCATATAAAACTCTTGGATAGGTCCGATTCTGGAGCTGCAATTTCCCTCAAGGGCCTATTACATGTACAGGCCGACCGGACAGGTTTTTGACCGTATAAGCCGTACGGCCAGACGACATCGAGGAAACTTGGTTTATTATTACACGCCACAACCGACCTGAAGGTGGCCACACCTCGCAAGCAACATAAATATCATTCTATACCCTAAGAGTCGGGGTGAAACTTCACGTACCATGTGTGCATCATGGAGCTCAAAACATAAAAATGTGCTGGAATCATCATCATCATCATCCGGTGTCTTGCCGACTGGCGTGGGCGATCATGGACCTCCACTTCACTCTGTCTTGCGCTGCAGCAATGGTGTCTGTTGTTCTTGCTGCTCCTAGCCATGTTGTCATCTTGTCCAGTATCGTTTCCCTCTGTCTGCCTCTGCCTCTCTTTCTATCAAACTTGCCTGTTGTTACAATATTCTCTAATGCTTCTTTCCGCATTGTGTGTCCGAAGAAATTTGCCTATCGCTTTCTTATATTCGTCACAAGTTGTCTTCTATAATTCGCTTCAACCAAGACTTCTTCATTTGTTTTTCTAGCTCTCCATGGGATACGTACTAGTGCTAGGCCTTCTCAGTTCTGAGATACGCAGCATGCGTCTTATGAACGACAACTCTGTCGCCACAATTGTTCTATCCAGCTGTTTATTGATTGTCCACGCTTCGCACCTGTATATATAGGAATGGAAATGTGCTGGAATGGAAAATCCATAAAAAACGAAACGAGTCACGATCCGATCGCGAGCCATTACCCTAATTTTGATACACTGATTCTGAATCTGGTATTATTATTATTATTTTTTTTAAAATCTATAGTGTGATTTTCTATAACTTTGAAATTAGTTCAGTCGTCCCCTGCGCAGCAAACTTCAAAGGCCGGATTGCCGGACGTCAAGTTCACAGGCAGCGGCTGTGGGTTTTTTCATCCGGCCGACTGGCCATTCGCCGGATGTTCGCATACGGTTGAGCCCAATTTTGTTTGAGCCGCATTTCTTATAAGATCTACACGTTACGGCCAAGGAGATTAAACGATTCTAAGCTCCTTGGTTACGGCCAAAGAGAGAGACCTGTCCCTTCTGCCTGTTCGTGTGATAGGCCCTTTACTGTCGTCGGCCGGAGCGCCAAAAAAATCTGGAGTAACCACTAGGGCCTACGGGCCTACTTCCGTTTCTTCAAAAGTATCACTTTTTTAGCTAGCCTAGGCTACTACAGACTTTGTTGTTTGTTTTCAACTTGTGTCCAGAGAGGAAAGAATCACGTTGGCATCGGGTCGTCATTCATATACTTAAATCTACCACGAGTACCTTACTCTGAAAGGTGAATGTTATGTACAATGTCTGTGTTACAGTGTTTGATTTTTGATTAGATCTAGATTCTAGAGATCTAGATTCTAGATAGTAAGATAGAATCTAGTTTATTGACTATTGACGATGGGCCGTTGGCGCCATGGCATGCCATGATGGTGGGGTTATTCATATTGAAGCGGAGTGAGAATAGTGCAGGCGAGTCTTGTGGCTATTCTCACCCGGTGCGCGTTCACCAAATTTTGCGTTCACCCTAAACCATAGAATTCTACACTGTGAGGAAAAATTGTAGAATGCTATTGCTGTGCCGTGAACAAACGTTCCATTACAACTGTGACTGTAGCCTACTAAAAGCGTACAATTTTGTCTGTGGCGTGGGCAGTGGAGAGAGAGAGAGAAAGAGAGAGAGGAGTAGCGCGAGAATTTCCGGGCAAAACAAAATGGCGACCCGCGTAGTTCGGCTCGATTCGAAAAGTTAAATAGCCGTAGCATCTTTGTAGACAACCAAATTTATTTACTTTTGTGTTTTAACATCATTTTTTAACTTTGTTTTGGTCAATTTGATCGTCCACACCGATAGACAGTATTCAGAAAGAGACAGAGAGAGAAAGAAGAGGGGAGGAGTTGATCTTGCTAGAACTTCCGGGCGGGTGAGAATAGCCACTTTCTAGTGAAGCGTTGTCTTGATGGCATTGATGGACATTTAGATCTAGTGGTGGGCCAAGAATCGATTCGGGAAGATTGAAGAATACCGGACCACTCGTACATTATTGCGCGAGAAAGTGGGGTAGGTGGGGCGGTGGTTGGGATGGAGGAGGGGAGTTAAGCAGGGGGGTCTCCCCCCTGACGCCCTGACAAATTTTTAACCCTCATCCTGCGGGAGCCGGGTTTATGTAGCCCGATAAGCCTATTTCGGCACCTCGCCTGCGTTTTGGTCCCGAGTCAGTGTAGCTCCTGGCTCAGCGCACGCGCAGCGCGCATCCTCTTACTCTTACGTGTCATTCGGGTCCCAAGTCGGATCCCCGTTCACGCAGGTCAAGTGTGTGTGCGTCAGTCTGCTTGAGTTTGTGGCCTTCTTCTAGAACCACCTGAGTTGGTTCGTAATCGAGGCATACGTCTCATTCAAAACATGCCAAGTTGATAGCTCTAGATGTTTGGCCAATGAAATTATAGAAGAAATTGACCCACTGAGACATGAGGAGCTCGAAAGGATAGTCAGGAAACAATACTTCCTTTTTTCTGTACAAAATATTTCAAATGATTTTGATTTTGTATGAAATGATAAACCTGATAAAAAATGAGCTTGTTTGATAGTTTTGAATACCATTGTGCAGGTACAAAGAACAATTTGAGTGTAAAACATTCGGAAATTGACATAAATTATCCCTTTTCGAACCTCAGGTCAGTCATAACAACAAGAGCGTCCAGAAAGGTTATTCGGTAAATTTTTACTTTCACTCCCGCACACAGATGCACTGTTTCAGGGGTCAAACAGCTGTACTGTTTGCTGCAGATCACACATAAGCCACTAAAACTGTCGCAAATCAATTATTTTCAAGACAATTTCAAATCTAACTGTAAAATATCAAATTATGGGTAAAAACAGGGGGGCATGCCCCCCTGTAACCCCCCAGATTTTCTTTTACCCCAGTGGGGCAGGCCCCCCTGGAACCCCCCGATTGGTCCAAAGCATGTCTATCTCGGTTAAAAACAATCAAATATTTAAAAATCTATTAATTTGCGACGGAAATGAAGTTGATATTCGTGTTCAGCGCATCAATATTTAGTAGAAAATAGACAACTGGTAGCTGAGTGTGAGACGGGAGGGAAAGTAAAAAAATACCGGTTATTCAAATGGGCGTAAAACTACTCGTAATGTCTTATATAATCAGCTTATGAGAAGGGGTTATTCATGTGTTTGTAACACTTTATAAATTATAGAAAGCTATGAAGGATAGAGCGTTATTTTCATCATCAGTTAACACACTCCCGCGGTATTCATGGCGAAAACACACGTTTCCTGGCGCGCGCGCTGTACACCAACAGTACACACTGAGTGACCCCGGCGGCCTGCCCGGCACGTCCGACGTAATCGGTTGCTGATAAGATACGCATCTGGGCACAGACGCAGGATAAAAGTTAAGGTAGGCCTAGTGTCAATTGCCACCGAGTGACGCGGTGGCAATTGACAAAAATTGACTTTTTGTCAATTGCCACCGAGTAAATTGGAGCTCTTTTGCGTTGGTTGGTGGGTAGATCTAGCTAGTTGTGCTCGAGTGCTCGGTGTTGTGCGTTCGCCTCTCTGACCCTCTGTGTGTGTGTGTGTGTGTGTGTATGTGTGTGTGTGTGTCTTTTCCTGACCCCTGTCCCCCGATTTATGTTCCCCGATATAACGTGAATTTCTGCTTGAGTTTGTGTGCGTTTGTGACCTTCTACTTCTACAATTGCCTGTGTTGGTTCTACACCAAAGTGTAGGCTAAGGCTAGCCTAGATCTAGGCCTACGTCTAATTGAAAACACGCCAAGTTGGTACCGTAGCTCTAGACTAGATGCTCGTCCAATGAAATTAGTTGAGAACAAATTGACCCATTAGACACACATTATGTATTGCTAAAGATAGTGTTGTTTTGAGACTTGACACCGCTTCACTCGGTGGCATTTGACTAAAAGTCAATTTTTGTCAATTGCCACCGCGTGAGCAATTGACGCCACCGCGTGAGCAATTGACGCTACCAATTTTTAATGAATAGATCTAGAATCTGCCATTCCGAGATTCTCCATTGAGAGATATTAAAAACGGGAAAATGATTAATTCCTAAGGTTGAGACATAGGCAAAGTCAGTCCGCTGGTTCGGTATTCTTCAATCTTACCATCGATTCCTGCGATTATTGCTTCTGAGAAAAAGAACCGATCCCTTTTTCGTAACGAAGTGTGTACAGACCCGGTAACCGGGATCTACTATGTCACGAAGTATACAGACCCGGTAGGGGAACTCTTTTGTGATTTCGTAAGATTTCAGCGCCCATACCCGGTAGTGTGTGTGTGTGTGAGAGAGAGAGAGAGAGGGAAGTGCTAGATGACATGTCCCAGTTGGCAGGAGGGAACGAGAGAATGATAGAGTGGGAAATAGGTGGGAGTGGGGAGAAAGAAAGACAGAGACAAAGAAAAAGAGAATGCGAGCGATACACAGAGACAGAGGAGAGAGAGAGAGAGAGGCAGAGAAATAGAGAGGGTGACTGCTCGATTGAAATTATATGACATTGTTTCTTTTCTTTAAATTGTGATTCCTCCAACTCCAAAACGGAGGAAAAACGATCGTTCATCGAAAAGACATCCGCAATCTTCATTTAGATGTAGATCTATCTAGACTAGCCTCGTAACACTGTCCTTAGAGAAATTGGCGCCAGCAACCCGCAAGTTGCGCGCGCAACTTTTGCCCTCAGCGCAACTTTTACCATTTTCGTGAATTCGCGAATTTTAGCCAATTTCCTGGAAAATTTGGGAAAATAATAATAAAATTTCCTTAAAATCACCGGAATTTTCTTCCACGACTAAAAATGACGCCAAGGGGGACAATTTGTCGCTCCTTTGCAGTACGGGGTGCTCACCGCCGCCCAGTGACCCGGGCCGGGTCAGGTCGGGTCGGGATGATCGCCCGACTCGTCGCCTGAAAACAACGTGTTTGTTTTGAAACGAGTCGGGCGCGATCACTTGTGCAATGATAGCCGCTTTGCACAATCAATCTGGCGAGCAAACCGACTCAATGGCAATAGTCTTGTTTGGACTGAATCATCTTCCAGTCTAGATAGGTCTAGAGTAAATCAATCGTAAACTCGGTCGCCTTATTGCTTAGCCGTCTAAGACAGGTGTTATTGCTTAGTGTGATAGGGGTTGTGTGTTAACAGGTGCCCGTTTTACATATTTAAATTATATATAGAAAAAACGCAAGGGGGGATGGAAAGTGGCCGTTTGTACAGGTGGCCATCTTATAGAGGTGGCCGTCAGGGCAGGTTTGACTGTATATGAATTTGTATTTTCCAAGGACACCCAAGCCTCGGAAGTCCCCATACTTTGGTGGCCATTTTTTTGCCAATATTACCTGACCTATGACACCAGTTGATCTCCATTTCGTTCAAAAGTAATTATTATATCTCGACTTCTATTCACATATATATATATGTGAGTAATTTTTTTAATCAAAAGCGAGACAAATGACAGGCTTTAAGATGATTCCAATAGCTCCATGTGTCAAAACATTGGCAAGTGCCCGATTTCACTGTGTCGTGACTCATATAGAAAGAATTTTAGCGAAAATTGTTGGTTTTTTACACCAAAAGGTTCCTGATACTTTGATACACAATGTGTGTAAATAAATATTAAATCCAGATACAAACTACTAATGCTCGAAAATGCACTTTGAATTCTGCATGAACCTCCCTGTCCACCTCCATGAGATGTTTGATCCTTTGAACCTCACTAACGCGAATAGCAAGGTTATATAATAAAGGGCATACCAGTTGAGCAACTCAGGTCAGTGAACTTCACTATCTTCCTCCAAGTTGTCACTTTCTTCGATTTCACTTGATGCTTTGAAAGACAAAGAAATTTCCATCTACGCAAAACGTATAAATATAGCTCTCTTTTAGCCAGCTATCGGGACATCATAAAACGACCCAGAGCACATATGAGACAGTCCTAAAATAATGAAATTAAAGTAGAGCAACCAGAAGTCACCTGTTGCACTGTTGTTATCATGATCACTTTAGCGAGGTTCAGTGGGGCAGCGTTTGTGATGCAGAACGTCGATTACCAATTAATGCATTGTCGCTAACTCAGATTGGGTAATAATGTCTTCAGGTAAATTTTGAAATTCGAGTCAACGAGGTACGAACAGAGTGCTGACGAAATAGTCAAACTTGTACTAGAATTGGACACCTCCACAAATGACTATTTTCTCCCCCACCACCACCCTCTCCTGCATTTTTTCTTCTTTTAAATAACGTTGTCCAAGAGGACCACCTGTCTAAAATGATCACTTTTCTCCTTGACAATAGGCGGTCGTCTAGGACAGGTTCGACTGTATTAGCTGACTTTTTCTATTATTAGTATTATAAGGGAGAAAACTAGCAATGTTAGTATCGTGGCCTCTTGAGCTGTATTCCCAGGGCAAGGGTCAGAACCTCCAACTTATCCCTCCTTTTTTCAGAATTTAAAATCAATTTTACCACTCCTGACTCAACCTGCACACAGAAGTCATGGATCACAACAGCTTCCCAACTGCGTGTGAAACTCCCCGTCTGGCGGAGCCCACCGAAGAAACCTGGATGGAACTCATGGGTGAGTGAGAAAAGAGAAAAGCATAGCTCCTGATTTCCAGAAATTTTCAGTTTAAATTTGTGTGAAGTTCAGCTAGAGCTGTAGATGTCATTAGTTTCCAGTTGTTTGTCCCCAGCACCAGATGAGGCAAGGCTAGTCACTGTTTGTCTCTAGTCTCTGCCAGTCTGTCACTAGTCGAGATGGTAGTTGGTTCTATTCAATAGAGGACATTAAAGTCTTGTTATTCCGTCAGCCCTGCTGTACCCCCAACTTCATGCTCGCCCCAAGATAGACGGTATAACGGGGTTTAACTGTTTATACATGTACCACAGTAGCCTCCGCCTAAGTTCACAGTGCTTGGGTGAACGGGATCGTGGACTATGCGCCAAGGGAAGAATCTATGATGACCCATATTCAGGCCCACCATCGGTAAAATAGTCTCCCATCACTCTATAATGAACTGGCGTGACCCCTGGGTGGGTTTATGACATATAGCGAGCAAAAGAGTGGTCGACATTGATGACCAATCACAGTTGCATGAGGCAAACCTTTCGTGAATCCCAAGATCTAGATTTATCCAGTTCTCCCTTCCTTTTACTTCCAAAATTTATAGCTTTCCATCTCTGACCGAGTTCCCCCTGCCTTTGTCGTTACGCACCATTACGTTGTGACCACACCAATTAAAATTCAGCCTGTCTCGCAACTTCGGGAGTAGAGACAACTGCTGTAATCGGTGTGATGCCGTCTGGGGGCAAACACTGTACCTTTTCATCGGGACTTACAACGCACATGTGATCACGTTCAGGAGAGAGAGAGAGAGGTTGATCTGTGACGCAACAGGTAATTCAGTGATCACAAATTTTCTCTCTTGATTGATCGGCTTTGCCCGCCTGAGTTTTTGTTCCGTAAATTATGATCTGAAATGCAGGATCATAGCTGAATGTAGACCTTCGTGGCGGAATCTTAGGGGTGACTTTTGTAGATTAAAAATTCTGTTTTCTTAAGCAGAGACTACTGTATATATGAAAAACACATATAGACATAATGAATGTATCATATGCTATCCCAATTTTCATCAAGTGGAAAACAAGTGATTAGAGTATAGGGCATCTTGGTGAAGCATTAACCACACTACATGATTTGGTACCTGACACTTGTCTTTTTTTTTTTTTTTCAGAATTCGAAATCATTTTGTGTTACTAGTGGGGTTTTGTTGAATGAATTTACTCAAAACCTACTAATGTCTTTTCAGGCGACTGTGTTTCCATGTGGCTGAAGAACTCCCCAGAGTTTTTTAAAGTTGCAAAACAGAAACTACTTCGAATGGCCAAATGCCCTTTCTTGTTTGGTGTATCTGACAACCTGCCTCGACCATGGATGGAGGTTTTGATCAACTATGGCATTTTGGAATCTGGGCGGTAAGTTTTATGATATTCAAGATTCAGTAATTCAACACATTTTTTCCGCCTGAGGTCATCGTTGTATTATAGAAGAAATTGCGCTGCTGAACACTTCTTAAAACACGCTCTGTTGTGTTTAGAAAGACAGCATGTGGAAATTTAGAAGAAATTCTGACACTGGGGAAGAAACAAGAGGAATATGTAAGAACGTTGGGTTTTTTTCTTTTACGTTTACTATACCCCCCAGGGCAGTGCCACTGACTGAAGCGTCTTTAAGCCATTCCTAAACGAGGGATATTAACATGTTCTTATGCTCAGTAGAATTGTAAATGAGCTGATTTATCAATGTCATGCTCATACTGTGCCGGAACAACATGGGGGAACTGCTGCTATTTCTCTCCCCATCCTTACTAGTGTCATTTTCCCTCTACTTTTTTTGTATGTTTGTCATTCTCTTGTGAGCTGCTATTTCCGGGGTGCCCTGATAGTGGAAGCAGACGTTGTGTTGTTGAGGCTAGAGAGGTGAGCAGAGTAAGCCTGATTCCCCGTTTGGACTTCTCCGTTGACATGCACCCCTTGGCACTCGTATGACCTTATGTAGTTGCGAGCGCCGTAAAACCTTACTAAGACTAAAAAAAAACCCAACTTACATTTAGTGTTTGCTGTTGTCCTTAGTTACATTATTTCTCTACTTCTTGTGTGTCGTGTCAGAGGTCTGTTTGTTAGGAAAGTTGTGTGATGACACCAAAAGGTTGGGTCAAGGACATTTGAACCCCATATGCTGCAACGCAATGTTTTCAGGCTTTCGCTCATAAATGTCTTTTTAAAAGGACATAATGGTATTGAGGGGGGATAAAAGTTTCCAAGCAGTCAGAAAAATGTCGCTTCTTCGATTCCATAATTTTGACAGGCACCTGCTGATTAAATGATGATGGCTGATGTTTTTTATTCCCCTTAGAACTGCAAAATGCTTTGTACAGCGTGGTACAATTTTCATCATCTTTTATAGGACACCCTGCCTCTTACAACTTTTTTTGACATCTTGTCTTGAACATTAACACATTTACTATGTCTGTCTTATTCTTATTTTGAATGTCAGTCTTATTATTTATGTTTGTTTTTATGTGTTTTTATTGTCTCATATTATTATGCGTTTATCATATGTCTTATTGTTATCTGTGTTTATTATGTCTGTCTTATTGTTATCTGTGTTTATTATGTCTGTCTTATTGTTATCTGTGTTTATTATGTCTGTCTTTTTATCTTGTGTTTATTGTGTGTGTGTCTTAATGCTTGTTGGTAGCTGGCTGGTGCTCTGGTGTGTTTGCTCCTCTTTTTCTATCCAACATCTTTCATATTGACCTTTCTTCCTTCTTTTCTTTGTATGTTTCACTAGTAATACTTCTAATCTGCAGGAAAAAAAATCTACAGCTCTTATATGATCACCTATTTGTGTTATAATTTGTAACAAGTGTCGTAGAACTGTTTCTAAAACTAAATATGACTCAATGCTTGTAATGTCTCTATTGCAGTGAGAAGAAAACAAGCCCGTTGAGGGAGGCAGAAATGGAAATGTTTGAGATGGTGGAGGTCATCTTTGAACGGTGTCTTCAGCTAGTGGTGAGTCGTGACTCTTTCACAATTGTAATTGTAGATGTTTTACCTTACTTTCGACATAATTTAGATCATTTAACCCTATCCGTACGTCGTGTTTTACTATCGTATCCATACGACGTGGGGAACTCTGTGCCACCACTTAACCCTATCCGTACGTTGTGTTTTACTATCGTATCCGTATGACATGGGGAACTCTATGCCACCACTTTCCAAAGACGAAATTTACTCCTTAATCCGATCCGTACGCTTTGCATGGCAGTCTGTCCAAATGATTTTTGGTGAAATACTGAAAGTTTCAAAGAGATCTTCGTACTACAAGTGTTCTAAAATGTGAAGAATACTACCCCGGGGTACAAATCACCCTAGGGCGTACAGATAGGGTTTATTCTGCAACTACAACCCTGCGTGTTATTAGTTAGGACCAGCCTGTGCATTCAATGTCCATGAAGACAAACTGAGATTCTTTATTTTTTTAAAAATCTTTCACGAGAATCAACCACACGTCTTTTTCCTTCAATGGCCAAGTGCCCAACCATTACCACACAGATGCTGGCATTCCTTCAGTTACTGTGTCAGAGTGGGTGGTTGGCGGTTGCTCTGGTGTGGTTTGCTTCTTCTTTCCTATCAGACATCTTTCGTCCTTATCTCCCCTACTTCTTTTTATGTTTGTTACCCTCTTGTAACACCTCTAATGTCCTGGCGCTCATATGACCTTATGCAATTGCGAGCGCTGTAAAACCTCTACTAAAACTTTTTTTTAAAAGTTACTGTGCTTAATCCAGGAACTTGTGGTGGATGGACCTTTTGGTATGGTCTGTTCGTCCCCACTTCTTCCAGTTTTTTTGGGTTTTCTTTGTTTTTGTCTTTCACTGCTCTAGGCTGAGGACATAACAACAAGCTCCAAATGGGGAAGCTTTCATAGAGTACCTCCTTCTATCTGTTAGCATGTTGTATCTCCC